AGTGCATGGAAACAACCTATAGAACACCTTGTTAGGTGATATGTGGAGCAGTAAGTTCTGAGATTATTATTTTAAAACTGGCAAATGTTTTGAACCCTACTGGGTTTCTATACATTTCCAAAAAGCCTTAGCTAAGCTAAGGGAAAAATCCTATTGGGTAAGATTCAGGAAGGATGTAGAAAATGTGTTCAGGAGATGAATGCCTCTATTGCAAATAACGGTCCCACAGAAACACAAAGAGACACCATGAAATAATATCTGACAGAGTCATTTCATTAATGGGCTGCATTGCCTGATGTTCTTGGGTTTCTGTCTGAAGCAGATTCTGGGAGCTGCAGACGATTTCACAAAATGCCCTGAAGCTTGTCTGTTAGGACGCTAGTGCCAGATGTCCAAGTGAAAGACATCCTCTCCCTCCAAGTTCTAGGAGGTATGGGAGGATTGCACAAAGCTCCAGGGAGAAACACTGAATCCAGAACATTTCAGCAGATCTGTGAGGTGGTTGGGATCCCTAAAACATCTCCATGTGACCACAGCCTGAAGGGTTGGTGGGATGGTTTTTTGCAGACTCTTCGTCAACTGGTTTGCTCCTCAGAACTGCATCAAGTGGTAACACCCAGCATATTCCAGTCCTTTTGAAGGCCTCAGGAATAGCAAAACACCTCCTCATCATTTTGGTGAAATCATAAGAACTTTTGCATGCCTTTTTGTGGAGTTTCAAGAGAAGAGTTTTGGATCATGCATAGAAACACATGTTCCTTTTTTTTTTTTTTTTTTGTAAGTGAAAATATGGGATACTTTACAGTCTTAGAAAAAATAGAATGAGAATCTTAAGGGGATAAACCTAGAACAACACTGTAGGACTTGCTATATAAGGGCGTATGGTACTGACCTGGGTATTTTTGGAGGCATACAGAGTACAGTCAGGTACTGAAACAAAATCCCATGCTGTCACGAGGTCCATTAGAAAATGTACTAGGGAAAAACATAGTGGGGAAACAAAACTTCAGGGTTTCGCTCATCCTCTGCTCCTCCCTCATTGAAAATGTAGTTGTGAGAATCCAAGGCTGGAGAAGTGGAAGCACAAATCCTCTTCCTCCCCACTAGCACCAAACGGGCAGAGGTTTGCAGGCTGGCTGCAGGCACACTGGATGCACCTCAACAGTGCTCTGTGAGTGGCTGCCTGGAAGGGAATCAAGGAGCAGAAAACTATGAGAAAGGGGAGTACAAATGTTTTGGATTAGTGATAGGAAAATACCTCACTGAAGAGAACTGTGTAATTACAGGTAAGTAAGAATGTGTCATTCATCACTTCTTAAATGATTTTCCCTTGTTCTCTGTGTGGTGGGTTTATGAGAGCCTTGTCATTTTGAGCTCCTCCAGAATAAAGGAGGTGTCTGAGAGGGTAGGTGTGGGAGTGGGGCCGAGCTCTCCTAAATCCAAGGGTGCAGGACAGGCAGGACAGTTGCCCTCCTCTGTGAAACAATAACTGCCACATCCCAGCCACTTGGCTGTGGACAGGTAAGTGCAGAGAAGCTGAGAGAGAAGGCAGAGAAAAAGACCTGTGAGCATTTTTGGGTACGACTCCTCTTGGGTTCAGGGAAGAAGACTTGGTGTTTTTATGAACGAAGACTCTGGTGAGAGAGCCTCTAAATTCATAATTAATTTCTCCTCAGAGCTGGGATAATCTTCAAGAACCCACATTTTTGGTTGACCTTTGGGGGCAGAAGACAGAATAGTGTTTTGTCTGTCTCTTTCAATGTAGACCTTCTGCTTAAAGTTGTTCTCAGGCCATCCTGCCTGTCCTCTTGCTGAACGACAAGGGTGCATAAGGGTGTACAGATTTGGAAGTGTTGGGGTTTTTAGCTAGAAGGACAGGGGGAGAAATCAGGGGATCTGCTGGTGCCTGTCTGCTTCTGTCGCCACCCCAGATCTAGCTGGAGTATGCAAGCAGGGAGAACTCTTCTGTGTTGTGTAAAGAAACAGATAGCGCTGGACAGGCAAGCTGAACTATTCCCTGCTGACCTAGGATGCGTACCAACTGCAGTCAAGCCCCAGACCATAAGCAGGACAGTACAGAGCTCAGCACAGACACTCAAGAAAAAGGACAGGCACGTTTGATGTTCACTAAAAACCTGTTGACCCAGAAGGAAGGATAAGACAGCCCTTAGGCCCATCCTAGCTTGTCAGGAAGTATCCAGGATACCTCTGAACCTTGTACCAACCAAGAAATACCCCCCTCAACCATTGTGCCCAAATTCCCTGCTCCCTCAGAGGTGCCCTTTGCTCCCAGACCAGATGGCAGGGATGGTCGCCTGTGCTGGCCGTGCTCCCTGGGTGTGCAGTGCCACAGGGAGCTACCCCACGTTGTGCAGGGCTCTGAAGCTCTTGCAAATCCTGCTTGGAAGGGGTCACTTCCCTGCAGCGTTATTCATCTCCCCTTTGTTTTACCAGGCTGCTGCTGCTGCAGCCCAGGCTTGAGCACCGGCTCCGCGCGGCGCCTGGCTGCATGTGAGCAGTGGCAGGCCTGGCAAGCCTCCCTTCTTCACAGGGAGCCTCTCCTCCCCTTGGATGAGCAGGTTTCCAGACAGCTCCCTTTTATGAGGATGGATTTCAGCAAGGCTCGCTCCAAAACCCAGCCCTCGTTTAACTCGTCTCCCAGTCTTGTCCTCTGTGTCCTGCTGGGGAGGTATTGCATGCCCTGCTTTAAGCTGTCGGCAGCCAGGCTTTCAACGTGGCAAGGGGGCCGGGCTCTGTCTGGGCAAATGTTTTCTTTCTGCGGTCAGAAAGCAGGGCTGGGTAAAGGCGCCGTGCCCGAGGCACATCCTGACAATGAGCCCCTGCCCACCCAGGCCACGCTGGGTCCCAATCTCCCACGTTGATGGCAGGGACAGCGAGGGTGGCAGCGACCTTGGGTCTTCCTCAGGGGCAGCGCTTTTCCCTCGGGAGCATCAGGGACCCTCGTGCTGGTGGGGAGGAGCCCTCCTTGGCCGGGAGGAATGGGGGTTGCCAGAAAGAGAGCCCGGGGTGCATCAGTGGGATGGGGACACGCTTGTGCCACCCACACAGCCCACTTCTGAGGCACGCTGGCACCCGCTGTCTCCAGCGGCTTGGCTCAGCTTTGACGCCTGGCTAAGAGGCAGCTAAAATGCCTGTGCATCTCAGTGTGAACACTTGGGGACCCCTGCTCCCAGGCAGACATTGCTGGGGTTGCAGCTGCATCATTCCCCCACCCTGACACACACACACATGCACACACCCCACAACCATGAAAGTCCAAATTATCTTTTCATAAAACTACCTTACATCCCAGGCCCCAAGGACAAACTCTCCATGCCTGCCGGTGGCCTTGGCAAAGAACAGAGTATTAAATCACAAGTTCTGGTGGATTCCCAACACTGGCCACTTTTAAGATTAATCTGGACAGGGTGCTGGGCCATCTTGTCTGGACTGTGCTTTTGTCAAGAAAAGTTGGACCAGATGGCCCTTGAGGTCCCTCCCAACCCAGTATTTTACGATTCTATGATTCTATGAACCCAAGGCCACACTTTGGCATGTAACCATTAAAGCTCATGAATTTATGTCAGGTTTGGAAAAGGTCTGTGGTATGGAAAGGTCAGTGTGTTGTTTTATTGTCCATTGTTTCCTTTACTGTCCTGAACAAGGTGTGAGAAGGAAGCAATAGGTCGGAGGGCTGCAGGGCTCCTGGAAGCAAGCAGGTGAAGCATGATGTCCAAGCCAGGGAAAGCAGTGGGCCATGCTCATCACACCTCCTCACATTCACAGCAGAGTGGGCAGCAAGTCCCCAAAAATCTCATCTGCCGTGAGGAGAGGAAGGCATGCAGCCATTTCACTACTTTCCTTGAACTTTACTCTGCGACTTTTCTAAAATAGCCATGGCCAAATTTCAACCCACAGAGCTCTGCACAGTGGTCAAGGACTTTGCCAGGAGATGTTGCCTGTGGGCTTTGCTGTATGGCACAAGCCACTCTTTAAAACCCCCAGTGTGTGAAGTCTTGAGCAAGGCAATAAGGCCTTGTCCAAAACGGTGCTCCCTGAAAAGCAGAAGCACCGTGAGGTACAAATACCTGTACCTGCCCGGTGAGCTGAGGTGAGGTGGTAGAGCCCAGTTAGGCAAGCAGTTGGGCAAGCAGTTGGGCTTGGGCAAGCAGTTGGGCAAGCAGGACCTCTACCACATCCCTGTTCCTCAGCCCCACAAACCTAATGGTGAAAGAGACAAGAAAGTTTGTTTTTTTTTAAATACTTTCCCATTTTGCAGATTAATATTATAATTTGTGTTCTTTTTTTGGTTTTAAACACCTTTTCTCTGTCTAGCCAAAACCATTTAGAGGAGTTTCCTGAAGCATCTGTATGCTGCAGAGCCCTTGGGCTGGCTCTGCAGGAGGGGGACAGGAGCTGGGTGCCAGCATTGCTGTAATGGCAAGTGCCTGCAAGTGGGACAATACGTCTCCTTCAAGCCTCCATCTTCTGTTGGGGCCAAAACAGACCAGAGTGGCACCAGACCATCCACTCCCGGGATCACTACCTGCAACGGCTCCTTTTTTTTTTGGCTTCCTTTCTGGGGTTGTCCACAGGAAAAATCTCCTCAAAGCACTTAGATGTATCTCAATGTGGTTTGAGATCCTACTAGTACCAGCAACAGATGCCAGAATCAGGCAAACTTCAGATGCATATCTCCATGCCTGTGCAGTTCAGGTCAGCTGAGAAGTGGAGACTTTCTCAGCAGAGGGAAGAAAAAGACCCCCAGATGCTGTGTTGACATTAATCACTGCACTTATGCGACTGTCCGACAGCTGAATCCCTGGCAATGTGAGAGCTGGTGGCAGTTTCCAGCCTGGTCCTGCAAGCAACATGGTGCCTTAGGGATCTATAATCAAAGTTTTGATTATTAGGGTAAAATTGGTCATGAAGAGGAAATAGAATGGAATAGAATGAAAGTGCAGCTATCAGCTTCCCTTGAGTTTAACTTGATCTATTTTAATTTAAATGGAAAATGTCACATAACTTATCTATAACACTTTAAAGCACTAGTCAGGAACATATTGCCAGTGCTAGATAGTGGCACATTTTAGCTGTAGCATGATGGACACAAAGCTCTTTAATACACACAGAAAACCAAACCTCAAATGCTCTGCTAAGAAAAACATTTGGACCTCATCAAGAAAGTACAGAGCTGGGGGCAGGAAGAAATGCACATGGCCTAGCGCAGCGTTTCGTTGTGTACCTTGGCGCCTTTTTATCTGTTTCTCAAAGTTTCAAGCGGCAAGAATAGAAAACGTCCATCACGAAGGTGCTGTGAGGCAAGTTCATGCACGTGAAGTGTTTCAAAACCCCCGGGAGCCTTGCCCAGCCGTCATGCAGTGACCTTGGGCAGGGGGTGAATGAGATGAGCTCCTGACGTCCCTTCATCAAAATGACCAGAGGAGCTTCACTCGAGTACAACTTGCGCCACAGGTCCTGAGAGCATAAGCTCTCGAGCTGATGGGCTTCTCCGAGATTGTTTTTATGCTCACGGCAGATTGCAAGTGGAATAAAATTCCTCCCTGCAGCCCTGGGTGAAGGCTTTGGAGAGGTGCGCGGGGTCCACGCCACGGGAAATGCCTCCCCGTGCGGAGTGGGTGCCCGGCTGACGCGGAGCGTCCCCGCGTCCTTGTGCCGCGGCCCTGGGAAGGCAAACCTCTTCCAGCTCCCACCGGCACGCTCCAGCTCCCACTCGACGCGGTGAGCGCCGAGGACGGTGTGGAGAGGGCGGCTTTGATGGCCTGGCATCGATATCAAAGGCAGGTACACGGCCTTATTTCCCACTCAAGGCAGCTGCAGGACGGCGCCTCTTTTCTCTGGAGGGGGAAGCTCGCGCACGGGGCAGGAAGCCATCATGGAACAGCCAGCTCAGGAAGGGGCCGGGGCCAAGATTTTGTTTTTAACCTGTTTCTTGTTTATTTAAGCCTTTGAGGAAGACGAATAAAAGCAGCCACTGACAGAGGCCGGCTGTGTCGCAATCGGAGCCGCGTGTGCTGGCTGGGTCGTGGCGGCGGCGAAGGCAGCCTGTGTGACAGAAGAAACCACCTTTCGGGTCGTTTGTCAGCCTCGCAGACCCACCAGCATCTTGCGCAGGAGCCAGGGTGCTCAAAGCAGGTATCCTGAGCACATCCGCATCAAGCCAGCAGCAGGCCACCCGATGCTGATGCTTTAGCTGGCCGCAGGAGAGCTGTGCTGCCTGCCAGGCAGCGGTTTGAGATCAGGGCTTTGAAGCTGCCCGGTTCTCTGCTGAAGGAGGAATTAGAGGCGTGGATATTTTTGTCCTGGTTATTTTGTGCAGAACAGGTAAAAGTAACTTGTTCCCCCTTGCAGAGAGGCATTGGTCCCCGGTGGGTTTGTCTCTGGGGCTGATTGAGCCCTTGCCCCCCCGACACCTGCTAGTGCTGCCCATGCCGCAGTGCTCACTGCCTCCTGCCCTGAAAGTGTCCATCTTACGGACTTTCTGACCCTCTGCACAGCACCAAGAGACATAACACTGACACATATTTGATGCTGCACGTGGGCCGGCAACAGATTTGCCATGGTCAGCCGTTTTTGTTGCTGTTCACATTTTCCACCCCTCCCACCCCTCCCCAGCATTGTTCATGCTCCCCACTTCGGGCTCCTGGTTTTGCTAAGGGCAAATTCCTGCTCCATCAAAGCACTTCTCACCAGTGAGATCAGTGGCTCCGATATGGGCTGTGGGGGAATGTCAGCCTCCTCTCCCTCCATCTGAACTGTCTGCCACCTCCTCTGGCTGGCATCCCGCAGTGCACTGGTTTGGGAGCGCACTGCAGTGGTAACCCCCAGCTGTTCCCACCAGGTGCTACAGGAGGTCCCAGCTGCATGGCGCTGGCAGCCAGACCCAGGACTGGGATCACTGGGCTTGAATTTGAACTAGAATTTGTCTGTAGAGCTGGGAGATAAACACCGCATTTCCTATTGCAAAAAAATGTAGGTTAGGTAGAGATCTCTCTAGGTTGTTTTTAAAGGGCAGAGGATGAGTGTCTGTTTGAAGTTATCTAAATTTTTAAAAAGGTAACTAAGATGTAAAAATTGGATTAAGTGAGAGTAAGAATGTGACCATGGGGAGGGTCTGACTGGGGGATAGGGTTGGAGTATGATGAATGGAATAAAATGAGAGCATCATGGGTTTGGATCCTCTAACTTTTGTCAGCAGAAGCTACCTTCTCCTGATAATCTTACTTTAAAAGGACCCGTAAGGGACCCTTGGTTTAACCCATATGGGCCTGTACATTTGAAAGAGCTCTAAGCCAATATTAGGATGAATTTCTGAAACGCCCTGTCCCCTTAAGAGAATGGATGGACGTGCCCTAATCTATTTGTAATTCTCCTTCCAAGTTTGCTTAAAAAGTAAATGAAGACATTACAAAAATCCAGCTGACCAAAAAAACCAGCTCTGGCCAGTCATTTCAGGCTAAGCTAATGCAATTATCATTCTTATCCATATTGTCATGCAGTTAGTCCCGCTGAGCCTAGCGCTCAACTGTCCTGATTTTTCATCATAAATTCTCTTTGTTCCTCTTCAAGTATTACTCCTGATTAAGGGCTGCGATTTGAGAAACTTAATGTCAGGTTTTAAAGTGACAGTTGATTTTTCTTTTAGCAAGTTTGTTTTGTATGGATAAGCTTTTACATTGCATTGACATATTTTTGACTCCTTTTTACTTTTTGGTTTCCTTTGTAGATACTCTTTTTAATTTCTCTGAAAAGATTGTAGAGCTTGTGCTCTCAGAGAGGTCAATAAACCTTCTTGCAGGTGTTACTGTGCGTGGGGGGAAGATGTGAAATGGAAGCAGGCACCAGGAATGCAAATTCCCACTGCAATTTGGGTCACATGTCCAAAGAGAATTATAATTCCTCACATGCTTTCTCACACAGCAGGACGTGGGAGCAGAGGGATTGCTGCCTTGGACCGGGCTCCCAGCTCATCTACTCCCCTGTCTTGTCTCTGAAGGTACTGAATTGCCAAGTGCTATAAAGCCAGAACAAGAAATGCCAGAATGGCCAATCATAACTTGCCTATAGGAAAATATTTTCCTAACCCCAGGCATTTATCACTTGGCATGTCCCCTGAAGAGCTCTGGTTTATATCCCTTCTGCATGATTATCTCAAATGAGGTAACCCTGGAGATATCCACAACCTTTTTAATTGCCCATGCATTTTTTTTCAGACCTCCTGAACTCTTCATTTTGGTAATCTCCTGGGGCAGCGAATCCCAATCTTTCGATGCACTGCAAAACACATCCTCATTTCTCCGTCCATTCACAGCTCGTTTTTTAAATGGAGTAAACATTCCCATTCTCTTCTACTGAACAATAACGCAGACTTCCTTGTGCCAGCCTTCCTGGGGCTTTGTCCTCTGCTCTGTGGATCAGTCAGTCAGTACCACCTTTATTAATATGCCCTTCCGCCCCCTGGTCCACCTTTGCACAAGAGCTTTCCCATCACCTTGAGCAGGAGTCTCTTTGGCCCTGGAGGCACAAAACTGCCTGCCCTCCTGGGCATCCTTCTCTCACCTTTACTGGTGGCTCACCAGGACTGCAGGTGTGGTATGAATTATTTTGAGGTGCGTGCACAGGGAGTCATGCTACAGATACAACCGTGCTGAAATCAGGAGCTGTCTCAGCTGAGTTACTAATAAGCTTTACTCTTCTTACCCTGATCCAGGCCAAGACCTACAGCAGGGACCTCAGACAGGGTCTGTTAGCTCCTTCCTGCAACTTCTATTTCACCCTGGCAAGGCCAGACCTCGCCCATCACCTTCCCTGTGCCACTGAGTCCATTGACCTGCCCGTGCCAGGACTGCTAACACAGCTGCACGAGGCCTCGCTTGCACCAGAGACCTCATTTTGCAGTAGAAAAATGTAGCCTGAGAACCCCTGGTTGCAAGCGGCAGTGCGGTCGGCGGGCAGTCTGCTCTCCACCACGTTGGCTGACAGAACAGTTGTAAAAAGAGAAGCTAGAGTAGGAGAGGGATTTTAAGAGCAATTACAGCTATCAGAGAGACAAAATTAATTAATGGTCTAGCACAGACATGGTATTGTGGGACGACAAGAGCAATGGGAGTGAGGGTTCAGTTGGCAGCATCCCTTTGAAGGTGCCCGTGAGAGCGAAAGCAGATCAGTCAGTGTCCCCAGTTCAGCTTTGGGATGTAGCTGCCCAGAGCAGATCACCGGGGCCCTGGACACCGTGCAAAGCTGGCAGAGAGCTGCCAGAAAACACCACTGTCACTGCAGAGGAGGTCCTCTTGTTACCCATTTAGGCTGCTTACGGATGCATGAGACAGAATGTTGTTTTTCCTTTTGCCTCATAGTTTAAGCTCAAGGTTTGGTACTCCCAGAGCAGTGGATGTCCAAGGGCACGACTCTCCGTGACTGTGCCCATGTAAAGTGGCCTGTGCTGACGGGAGGCAGATGACAGAGATACCACTGACATCATTTTAAGTCTGGGTGAACACACCGCAGCTGGAAAAACACTAAAAAATGGCATTCATACACCCTGTACAGTCAACTGCACTATAGGCAGTGCTGGTAGGGATGCTTTGCTTTTCAAGTTATTCAAGACATCCCACTATACAACCCCATTTTCAGTCAACTAAAGCTTTGCCAAACATTTTGAGGTGATTTTTTTTTTCCATGCTCTGCTTCTGACTTCTTTGAGGGAAGGATCCAGCCAAACAGGCTTAGCCAAAGCCTGGCGCCAAGTGCGAGAGGCAGGGGCAGAAGAAGCTGTTTCGCACCATGCAAAGCGCTTCTGGCGACCTTTTCGCTGAACGGCTGGAGCGTGTCCCTGCTTTGGAGCAGGGATTTGAAATTTGGCAAGAGGGCCAGATGTTTTGTCTGGGATTTGCCATGGGTCTTTCCATTGCCTCCCATCCGGGAAAGGCTGCGTGCCCCCATCACCTCCCGCTTGGCTGCGGCACCTCCCTGCTGCTGCCAGTCCCCGTGTTGTCTGAGGTGTCCGACCTCTGCCTGGTGCCTCCCGGTTTTACAGCCCCACTAATGAGCCACGGGGCTCTCAGCATGGTGTGATATCACGGGATTTCTGTCTTTTTGTGACTTGAAAAACTACATCCAGAAAGCTGTGTTAAAAATTATTACAGCCACTCAGTGAAATATTGAAGCTTAGAAGTGCAAGGATCGAACTGACCTGTGCAAATTCAATTCACTTTCCAAAGTATCTATTGCTACTTTCTTTGTCCCACACAGCTGGCCTTCTCATCTGAAGTTTATGTAGTTTATTATGTTTATGGCCTTCTCATCATGTAGTTTTAGTTACAGTGTATTGATAGTCTCCAACCCTTTGCTGCTTTTTTTAATATAACTTGAACTGGAAGTGTTTGAAATCAGTTGAGATTTCACAAATGTTACAATTGCTGTGTATTGTAAAAGCAATATTCTTCCTTGCATCTTGTGCAGCAATGACATGAAAGAGATGTTTAGGACAGAGACACAACTTTTGCCATTAGCTCACCAACTTTGGATGCCTGTGAACCCGTGGGCTGGTGCAGATGGGGCCCAGCTCCGTGATGCCCTGAATTGCAGGATGGCACAGGATGGTCAGTGTGTTTTCGGCCACATGGACCGAACCCATCATAATCGTGTCTCTCTGTTGTCTGATCATTGCCTGTACCAAAGCCCTTGTCAGATGATACTTATAAAATAAATACATCCAAGAGCTTTCATAGTAACAGTGCTACATGAACAGACAACTAAAGTTTAAATTTCCTTTGGCACAGTATTTCTAGTACACAGCTATTCATTCCTCTACAAGCAGAAGACATACACATAAGAGCATGAATGATCTTATTGTAAAGGCATTTTCCTGGGCTCAGATGGCAGGAGTACAGCTCCTAGCTCTGCCGCAGACTGCCCATATGACCTTGAACAGGCCTTGACCCAGCTCACCGGGCATATTTAAGGATGCATGTCCCGTTGGCATCACTTGGAGGCAAGCACCTGAGTACTCTGGTGAATCTGCTACACTGAGGGTCTTCAAGAGAGCCTAATCTTACAGAATTCAATTGCTGTGTGCTTCAATTCCTCATTTTAAAACATCAATAGAAGCAGCTCTTGGTCTTTCTAGGGGCACTTTATCAGGCTGTTGAAGAATCTTACCTTGATGTCCTGCATCACAGCGTCACAGAGACTGAGGGAAGGTGCTCCCATGCCTCACTCTGCCCCAGCTCCTCTTCTTGCAGGTCCCTGTCTGCAGGTTTTCCAGACGTGAGTGCACCCAGCCTGTTCTGTCAGCCAGTCCATGGAGCCCATGTGCATGGATTTGATTTGAGGTATCTCAGTCCTCTGTTACTGTGTGGCAGAGACTGCACTGTCCTAGCATGTCCTAGAATTTTCTTTCTCTCATCATCTACGTGGGCTCTGCCTCTTCCTACACGGCCCATGCCCTGCACACCCTGTCAGGCTGGGGACTGAGATCTGTTGCCTTGCTCTTCTCATACCATGGAACTTTCTACAGAAAGAGAAAGGGCCTGGAGAGAAAGCAGAGCCTTCCCAAGGGACGAGTCCACAGCTGCAGAACAAGATCTTCTGGAATTAAGGACCATTACCAAATACTGGGAAAGCCCATGGATGCAGTGAGTTGGGATAAGCTAGAATGGGATAGACAGGGGCCCTGTTTTAACATGGTCCCTAAGGAATGGATAATAAGAAAATTATGCTAGGAAACACAGAGCAACTCAGGCAGGAAGGAGTGACACGGCACCACAGTTGCAATGATTGCATCTTTGACTACCATGCTTGTTAGAAGATTATGCTTTCAATCCTATCCCGTTAATACAGTTTTCGTTTTATTTAGTGTACAACACTGTGGGTCTCACAGTTATTACCCACGGATGCCCAAGGGATTTGTGCAGGTGATGAGCTTAACTGTCTTAGGTATAGTAAATTTTTTGGGTAATACTGATGCAAAGTGAACAGCATTTGCAGCTAATTAAAATGTTACACTTTAAAATAATTTTTGCTAATTACTAATATTTAGCGGCACTATTTTAACTGCAATTTCTATGTTCCATGGGGATTTAAACTCTGCATTTCCTCTCTTGGCACCATTTAGCATATCAAAATGACCATGAAATTAAAAAACCTTAGTAATTTTACTTCTCTAGGAATTAATGCTATCAGTAACAGGAAAAAAAATTGCTGCGGAAAAAAATTTGCTGCAGAGAAAATATGACCAAATTCAGGCCCTTTCCCCTTTTTCTCCCTCCAAAAGACAATAACGCTATAGTGCTGACTGACCCAGAGAAGCACAGAAGCTGCTCTGGGCACAAGCTGTGTTTGCTCTGCCAGGAGGAGGATGCACAGAGCCGCGTTTCCCTTACAAACAACATTGTTGTCCCGTAAGGCTGAGCATCAAGTTAGTGCTAAATAGCATTCTCTTGGCCTCAAAATGAGTCAGTATCTGTCCAAATCAGTAGCCTGATCTTTTGATTCCCACTCTGGGTACTGGCTGCTGAAATGAAGCTACTACCCCTGTGCAACGTCAGGCACCAAAGCACCGGCAGAATGAGCGCTAGACCCCAAGTGTGTTGTTTCCCAGGTTCCTGCTCTGCTTAACAGACTGCACTGCTTGCCCCTGCAGGACAGAAATGTCCTTTAAAAAGGATGAAAAGGAGAGGGGGAATGTGAGACTTCTTTTCAGAATAAAGCAGAGTGCATTTGCAGCGTTCTCATATCATCACAGAAATCCAAACACACCAGCAGCATCACTATGTGAGTTTGCACAAACTGCTCAGTTATTTAGCAATAAAATCTCCAAATCAGATTCCAACAGTCAGTCTGAAAAACGACATAAGCATTCAACACAAGAGCATTCAAAGATACATCAGCTGTTTTTTTTTTTTTGTTTTGTTTTTGTTTTTTTTTTTTTAACCGAAAGGGAAGACTCGCATCCTTTCACTGAACGCATGTCCACACAGATCAATGTCAGCTCTTATTCGTTTCCTACTTTTAACTGTTTGCATTTATTCCTGTTACTGGGGTCTTAGTCACCTAGACACTGTGGTAGTTTTGTTCTACATGCTTTGATTAAACCAAATTCTGGGTCTGTCTCAGGAGCATAAGAAACATAATTTTGTGGTCCTCTGCTGTACATCCAGCATTCTATGCCTGGCCCTGCACACAGCCCTGCCTGGCAGCCCCCCTGTCTCTCCTCCTTCTCTACGAGGGCAGCCAGAAGAGCTACCACCCCGGCTCCACCACTGGATTGCTTGTCGACCCCGCACACATCATGTAGCCTTTCCTTGCCTTTTAGAGCCACGCAGCCGCGTCAATCCTGGTGGGATGAGCCCAGCAGCAAGGATTTGTTCTTCTGCATTTACTTTCCCCACTTGCAAACTGAGCATCATAATACTTGCCTAGATCAAAGGGGGTACAGGGAGAATTAAATAATTAATGAATGTAAAGCACTTTGAAAGATGAAAGATTCTATATAAGTACAAAGTATTAACTACAAAAAATCCCCAAACTTGGTTACTGATGTAACTCGCTATTTTATTCAGTAAGAAATGCATGAAATTGAAGTAACTGCCACTAACAAATTACAAGTTAGATTATGTCAAGCCCTAAAACAGCTAGGCAGGGGACTGAGACCCTTGCCTCCTTCTGTGGCTGAGTTAGGATGCCTGTATGAGCAAGAAGGGGCCGAAAGCACACCTAAAATGAGGATTTGGAAGGGAAAGCACTTCCTGCATCAAGCAACCATGTCAAATGGGGCAATTCAAAAATTGACAGCGCAGTATCTTACAGCAAGCTATGTTTCTTGCTGTTCCCCAGCCTCACCGCTCCAATGGTTAGAAACCTTCCTCTGGTTTCCAGGCTAAATGTACTCATGGCCATTTGTATCCATTTGTCCTTCTGCCAACATTGTTTTAAGTTTAACAGAAGATATTTATAGACCAATCGTGTCCTCTCCAACCTTTAATGTTGTTAGCCTGAAGAAGGCAATCCCTTTCAGTATCCTGTTGTTAAGTAGGGTCTCCAGCTGCTCCCCACCACCACCCCCCAAGCACCCTACAAACACTTAATTACGCTTGCTCCAGTGGCAATTTGTCTTTCTCAAATAAAGGTGAATGCAGCCTCCTCAAAGGGTCCACCAGTACTTGTTCTCCATCATTAACACTTTTCAGGCCCATGTTGGAAATACTTGATACAGCCTAGATCACATTTACCTTTCTCCATGGCCGTGCTACGCTTCCATTTCATAGCAATCCTGTGACCAGACAGGGTGCTTGAGACTTTTTATTTTCCCAGAGAAACTCTGACACTTCAGCCTTACGTGCCAAACCTTACATTTGGCACAATTGAATTTCATCCTATTCCCATTGTTCCCATCCTCAAGGTCACGCAGTTCTTCCTGTTTGATAGGCCGGGGCCTCTTGTGTATTGACAAGCACTCGCATGCCTGTGTCATCAGGAAATTTCACGATGCACTCCTCCCTCTTTTGTGTGACAGGCAAACATTAACTAAAAGCTGTCCCCATACAGCCCTCAGACAATTCCACTAGCAACTGCCTTCCAGATCCACTTTCAGCACATCTTGCTTTCATCTCTCATCCTGCTATGTCTCACCTATCTTGCAGGGATGACTGAGGCTCTTCCAGAAGGAAAGATGATGCAAGTCCACAGGGCTTGCTGGCCCCAACCAGTGCTTTAAAAGCGGTTGCGTTCCCTCAGGGACATTGCAAAAGAGAGTCAGAGAAGTTGCAAAGCATTGACATTTCCTAACAATGCTAAGCCAAGAAAATATAATACTCAGGGTAACTTTGGATGGGAGGGAATATTCTTCAACATCTGGTGGAGTGCATGCAATAATTCTGGCAATGCAGAAAGCCCTGTGTCCTCAAGAACCCTTTCACATAAAAGGTCACCAGTCTGTAAAAATGAAGGACATGAAGCCATGTTGTTATTGCTGAACACAGGGAAACCAAGTCCAAGGAGAGGTGGAGTGCAGAGACAAGTGCCGGGTAGCTGTTTCAGGGAAAAGGTGGGCAGACATCAAGAGTCCTGAATCTGCTATCACACAGATCTGGTCTGAGCCTCAGGCCTCTCTTTTGCCTCAGTTAAAGAGCAGGCATCTTTGGTCATTTATGGAGATGATTTATAGATGGTTTACATCAATGGAGGAAGAAAAGAGTTACTGATTTCTGGGAGTAACCAGCTCTTTGTGAGACAGAAGATTATGGCCCAGCATCTAGTCAATCCTATAACTGATAAGACAAACTCAGGAGGAGACTGGAAGAAATGAACCCTGATATGCTCAGGTCTTCTACTGCCAGGGAAGATCATGGACTCTATTTTTGAATCAGCCAAGAAGTAGGGGCAAATCTTGGCCACACCAAGGTCAGCAGCAAACTCTGATTGGGCCGAAGACATCAGCTCCAGCACTCAGGTGCTTCAGGGCTCCAAAGGCAACTCTGAGAAAAGCCACCACTTATGGTGGGACTTGGTCAGAGGAAAGTCGCACCCGCTTGCTTTTGAAAGACTTGGGACATCTTCCACAAATTCCAGCTGGTGCCTTCCAGAGGACCCAAATGTGTGTTTCGGGCAACTGCAGTGCCTGTGAGTACATCGAGCCTTGAAGTACAGCTGGAGCAGTGAATAACGCAGTGAGACTACCCAAGTGCCAGCAGGAGACCTTGAGCCAGCTGCAGAAACAAAGCCCCGAGTGTCTGTAAATGCCAGAAAGTCTGAAAAATGAGATACACATGCATATGCACCACAAAGTTTGTCCTGGATCTTTGGAGAGAGCACCTTATTAGAGCTGCTGGTAGCGTTACATCAACTCAGAAGCACTTTTTTTCATGTGCATCTTGAAAAAAAGGCCTTTCTAGTTTCATTACAAGGCACTGAGTGCACGGGACAAGCTGAGCACGTTTGGCACCCGCTGCTATGAAGGAAAGCTCCTCGTCTCCTGCGCCGACTGATCCCTCAATCTCAGCTACCCGTGCAGTCCTACCCGTGCAGTCAGAGCTTGGGAGTCAGAGCTGAGCAAAGCCAGAGCTTAGACAGATTTTAAATATCATCTCTCCACCTGGCAGGATTTCTTCAGTCCATCCTGCCACTTGCTGTGGGCTCCTAGCTTTGTGTTTGAGGGTATGTGAAAGAAATGCAGGGCTTTCCTTTTTCATCCCATCTTCACCCTGTGCAGAGACATTTAGAGCCTTACACCCAGACCCCTTAGCTGGGCTTCCCCTCTGCTTGCTTACCTCCATGTCTTGCAAGTTCGAGTAAGGGACTGCCTGCTGGGACCAGGGAGAGGTAACTGCAGCTTCTCCAAGTTAAAATGGAGATCGGCAGCCCAGGAGGGCGATGCTGCTGCCAGCTGTGTTGGCTGTGCCCTCAGCGGGGCTGCCACCATACTGCCATGTCATAGGTCCCCGTCCAGGGGAAAAACCCTAGAGGGGCTGGTAGCTTTTTTTCTAGAGGGATAGCGTGGGGCTAATTCAGCCTCACTGCCTGCTGAGCCAGGGACACAGGCACAGGCGCTACCCTGCCACAGGCGGCACGTGCCGTTGGGACCCCCGGGCACTGCCTTCACTTGGAAATAATGAGACCCGTGTCTTTAAATGGAAATTTAAATGAACAATTTTGTTATGGGACCAGTAAAATCATTATTAACAGAACTGATTCATATCAGGGTGTGAGTGACGGATGTGGCTGCAGCGGTGCTGCTGCAGAGGCTTCTTTGTTCCTCTTGCAGGGTCAAGCTCCTTCATTTTATCCCTCTCATTAAGGGAAAGTGAGAGCAGGAGCCCTTGCCCTTCCCTGTGTTGCCCATGGTGCTTGTGTCTTGGCATAAAGCCACGGACTGGTTTTCTGGCACTTCTGCATGTTGTCTAAGGCAGCAGCTTGAGCCCTGCATGTGCGTGTGCATGTGCATGTGTGTGTACGTATGCGTTCCCACGAGCACATACACGGAACAGACCTAATCGTTATCCTCCACAAGAACATGAGTAAGAGGATTTTCTTCTCTCTAACCAAGTAATAATTAACACCTGGTGAGAAGGTCTAATGGCCATAACACCTCTTTAACGTATTTTGATGGAAAATATCCTCTTCAAATATACTTTGAAGGAAGAGAACTGGCCTTGGAAAGGATAGACTGTTTGTAAACTAGTCATCCCTTGTTTTCAAATTCCTTAGCTCTGGTCAGTGAGAGGCAAAGGACTCTGGGCTAATATAAAATACTTGCCAGAGCATGGTAATATGTACTCCAAGCCGTAGGAGTTAGCTTTATTTTCTTGAAGTATCACAGCTTCTTGCCTCTTGCTGCTCTATCCCTATTTTGAGGGACTGTCAGTTGTAGCACCCAAGGACTCTCTCCAGGCCTCATGCAGAAACATAATAAAATATGACTTCCATCCCAAAGAACCTGCCAAAGAGTAGAAGGCAAGACAGAAACAGTTGGGTCATTATGGACAGCTTAATTACTGGTATGCGCTCTGTGGGAGACTCCTGTAAGTGCCTGGGCCATCATCTGGTTTCAGGGAGCCACAGCTGGAGGTGAGAGCTCTAGGCACAGGGCACCCGAAGGAGCTTTAGCAAAAGCAAAGATTTAGGAATTTAAATTGGTCTGATACAGTCATTGTGGAGGCTGCAAGACACAATTTCATTCTAGTCTGAAAGAAGACCTGATTTCTTTTGTATGCACCGATTCACCTCGTGGTCTGATGCGACGGCTGGAGGGAGCAAGGTGCAGAGTTAAATACACAGCCTCCGAGCGTGGAGTAACTTGACATAAAACAACTCCCGTCCTTTCCACATCTGTCACCCCATTCAGCTAACATGAAGTGCTTCACACCTTGGTCTTATCCCTAGTAATGCCAAAAGGGCACATGGAGCACACACAAAGGCTAGCGTGGGTTGGATGATTCCCCTGGACGTTATCTGGTCCAACCCGGTGTTCACAGGAGAGCCTACAGACACACAAAACAACATGAATTGGACTCTAAAGAGCACGTTGAAAACAAGCCTTACCTCTAGATGACCTGAACTTTAAAAATGGCCATGTCAGAAGCCAACCTGAATTGCATGTGTCAGACACATTTCTAATCGGCCTTGTCTTTTATTTAATTGCGCTTTCAAGAGATAGATACTATTATCATCTCCTGTCAATGGACATCAGTCTTCAGAAATCACAGCGGCTTACTTCAAACCTCTGCTTTCAGGGAGAAACTTTCATCATTTATTTTAATGGGGAACCCTCTGTTATTTAGCAGATCACCGGTGTGTGGAACTTTGGCTACTCGATGGTGTGTCGGCCCTGCACAGTCTGGCTCTGTGGTCCATGGCTTGCTACAGAGTGAGGGGAGCAGAGGAAAAAGGAGCAAGGAAGAGGCAGGGTCTTGGCTTCTCCATAGCCCAGACTGACTTGACGGGTGGGTGAGCCCTTGGCCAGCTGCAGCACTTTTGGCTCCCTCCCAGCCCCAGCCGTCCCGCTGGGGGTGGCATCTCCAAGGGGGTCCCTGGATCAGCAGCCTTTTGGGGAGCTTCTCTTGGGGCAAAGGGAGACAAACTCCCCGCAGTCCTTGGGGCAACGCGGGGAGCCCCGTCCAAGCCTTTGTTCCTTGCTAATTCTGCTGCTCTGGATTTGTGTGCTGCAACCCTGCGATTGGCACTTGGCCGGACTGCTGATGCCTTGAAGAAATATCTGTATAAATGAGATTATGTGGGAGTGTGCGTCTGTGTGGGTTCAACCATGCCAAACCCACTTTATTTCCAGTGTAAAAATCAGTGGAGAAAAATCCGAGGTTTCTGGAGTCCCATGCAATGTTGTGTGTCCTCGCGGGTAGGAGAAGAAATAGGAAAGACTGTGTCATCGGAAAGCTGCAGCCCAGATCTTGCCATTTCTATGTCTGACGTTGCGTGTGCTGTTTGACTTGTCGTCGTCGTCACCCGGTTTGCGCTGCCTTTTGGCAAAGGGAGGAACAAGAGCAGGCAATGTTTTACAGAGGACAGTATCTGGCTATGGAAAAGCTGTGCAACATGACTCATTTTGTGTAAAGGACATGAAATTACAACTGCATGCCACATGAGAGTTGGTAGCTGGGCTCGAATCAAAAACCATCCTCATCCAGAAAGGGTATTCAAGCATGTGCTTAATTTAAGAACATACTTAATCAGGGCCTTTGGGCATGAAAGGGTAATGATTATTCTTGTGTTGCTGAGAAAATCCAAGTGACATCCGGAAGATGTATTACTTGAGAAAATTTAGTGTTATTTCAGTGTCCTCGTTTAATCTTTCAATTTCTAAAAAATTAATTCTTTTAATTTCTCATTGCTCACCAGTGCTGTGAATTCTTTCACAGCTGTTTTACATTTGTTTATTAATGCCAAGTGGAATCAGCAAATATAGTCTCGTTCAGATAATAATTATGGGAGATCAATCCTGCATCCGCCTCTTTTCTTCATCCCCATTAAACTTCCCAGCTTGTAGGATATGCATGTTTGACTTTGCAGGGAAAGCTAGCCACAGTAGAAGAACCTTTTCTCTCTTGTACACATTATTTAATCATTTCAAAACAACAGCATCCCTGTCCCAAATTTTTTCAATGTATTTGACCCCTAATTTTTTCTCTATATAACTGTGTATTGCTGCAGAGATTAGATATGGGGTATATGATTTTAAGTACGCAATATGTATATTTTTTTTAAAATTACAAGTGACTGGTTTTATTAGCTAGCAACCATCGGTGTCCTGAATCAATGTTCTGATCCATCAACAGCTAGCACCTATTGAAGTTCCAAAGATGTCCCGGTAAAAGCAAGTGAGCTCTTGGCAATTGCTATGTTGCTCAAATAACCACGCAAACAGCAGGAGCAGCGAAGCAGAATGTAGCTGAAAGCTCTTCTTGCTGGACCTGGTCCTGCCACCCTTCCCCTTGGGAATGGTGCCTCCCTGTGTAGGCACATTGCACCCAGCCCAGGAGAGGCTCCCTGTCCCCGCGTGACCAGGGCAGATGGAAACTAATGCCTTTGGTTTCCTTGGAAAATGCAAGTGCTCTGAGTGGTGAAGCCACTCTGGACCCAACAGAAGGTGAACTCTGGTCTACATCGTCCATGCTTCATATTTTCATACGCAAACCCATCATTTGCTGTACAGAAGATGTCCCCTGAGCTGCTCCAGACTCCTCCTGCCTTAGGGACTCTGCACACCAGCCATACAAGGAGCTGCAGGAGGCTGGGGCCCAAGTGGATTTTCCACCTGTACCCTGTAGGAGATATTCACCCTGCTGCCCATGGAACTTGGCCTCATTTTTGAGATACTTGCTGTGCAGAAAGATATTTAGACACTTGTTTTAAGAGAGATTCTTGGACCAGGAGATAAGCAAGGGCTGTTATTGGCTGTAAGGTAAGTGCTTGTTCATTTATTGACTTTGGGTTAAATCCTGTTCATTCTCCTCAGGCAATTACTCCCCCTGAAACCAGTATGACTGTCAGCATGAATAAAGCAGTTGGATTTTGGCCCCTTTTAGAAGACAATGACCATAAATCTAGCTGCCAGCACAAATCCAGGTGCTAAACCCAGAGACTTTCCTAAGGGAAAAAAACACAGTAAAGATGTGTGGCAAAGAACTAGGGAAATGGATGGGCAGAAAGGAAAAGAAAATTTAACTTCATTTAACTCTAATACTTATTATTAGGGTAGATGTTCAACTGGGAGTCAGTAAACCACGTGTTCTCAGCTTTGCCAGCGCTTCCCTATCTGACCTTTGAGATGACCCTTGAATACCCCATCCCTTTCAAAGCTGTGGTTAAATATAATTGTATGTGGCTGTGAGACTGAGTAACAAGGTACAGCAGTGAATGCAAACTGCCATAAGGATGTTTAAAAAAGTGGATGATGGCAACAAAACATCTTGGTGAGAAGCTCTGAAAACACAGTATGGTAAGCAACACGACTAGGGAAGAGGGTTTTTCAGGTTTTTTCACCTCTAGTTTCTTCTCCTTTTTTGTACAATATATCTTAATCTTGCTCTATGGATGTAGCACGAGAGTTATGTGTGCAGAAAGCATCTGAAATCACTTTGTTTCTAGCTTTCTTTCATACGTTCAGTAATATAAATAACTGAAGAGGATATTGCTTAACCCATAAAACAAAGTGACATCATAATTTATTAATACAGAAGACATAGTTCATTGCTGTTAAATGCCATAAAGAGCTGGAAATAGAGTAGTTTCTCAGAAGGCTTTGCCAATATGTCAAAGGAAAGATTTCCTTGATGCTATCTCAGCATGTGTAAGATCCTGTCCGAGTATTTCAACATTTTGGTTATTCCCCCCTGAACCACTCTGCAGCATTCAAAGGTATCTTTACTGCTGATTTCCCCAACATTTGATGTCTTCTCCCTGCTTGCCCCACTCCTCCCAACGCTTTGCTTCTGTCATTTGCTGGAATTGACTCCTCTATGGGAAGGAAAATAAAAAAATACGTAACCAAATGGCGGGGACAGGGCTGGCTGGCCCATTTATGTTGCTCCTGTTGATGTTGGTGGGGCGGCGGCGTGAGCCCACATGTCCTCACGGCATCCTCGTGACAGCAGGGACACGGAGCTGCACGCATGGAGGAGAGGTTTCAGTGGCCCTGATGCATCTCCTGGCTCATAGGAGGGCAATACATCAGGTTGTACACACTCGGGCCACGGGCCAGTAAAGCATTTAAGCACCTGCTTACCCCTAAGCTTTTGAGTAATTCCTCTGGCGTGAGCTAAGCCCAGGCACCGTGGCAGCCTCTCGCTTCCCACGGTCTTCCCCTGCGAGGATGCGTGCACCGCGGCCCGGCTGAACGCCGGCTGCCGGCAGCGCCTCCGGCATGGGACCGCTCACCACCCACCTCTTCTTCCTCCCTGCTAGGCACAGCCCCAGCTTTCCCTGTCTAACTCTGCAGACCCCAGTCCTGCTGGCACCTCCGTGGGCGAGCCCCCAGGGAGCCCCACCAGCATCTGAGAGGCTCTGCCAGGGCTGGATTCAGCGGCAGAAATATTTTAGACCGTTCCAGGAAAAAAAACCCACAACATTTCTGTTTGTGTGCTGTCCCCAAGCACCAGCATGAGCCAACATATGGACAAAATGCAGTGACCACATGTCTACAATAAGATATCTCTCTCTTTTAGGTAACATAAACAATTTTCCTGGTATGGATAACTTGCAGCCCTGGAAACTCGCTCAGCAGATGTTCAGCTCCATGCATGACCAGAACCTGCACAGAAGCACCAGTCCTCATCACTGGTCCCTGTCTGCCTCATCATAAAACATGCCCAGCTGTGCTTTTGCAACTTTTGGGAAGAGACAAGATTCCTTTTGGCTCCCCAGGATATTAACTTAAATTTTCATTTGTGCTAATTTCATACTTTCCATGGACGTAGTCAACTCCCTCCCACTGAAATGCACCTATTTAATTTGATTCAGCCGGTGTATGAAACATGCCCGTTGTGTGCACGGTGCTGCGTGGGTTCATCAAGTTACACTCTGCGTGCCAGTAATCCCCAGGGGAGCCACGGCATGATGAGCTCCTACCTGCCTGCTCGCTGCGCACACGGGCACAGGCGCTTGATTGCTCCCGGCTCCCTGGCGAGACGGATTTCCCTCCTGTTCATCAGCTGGCGATGCAGACTTTCTGCATGCTATTTGCCTGCCCAGCTCCTCCACAGACACGCACACACGTGTGTGCTCACACCTATGTAGCCGTAGCGGCACGCATGCTCAGACGTGTGTGCGCAGCCAGCCCCCGTGCAGAGCCGGCGCCTGCACGTTGGCAGTTCGCTACCCCCCTTGAATCCCCCTCTTCTCTGGGCTATATGTGGCATTTCGAAGCTCTGACAATCTGCTCCAAATGTTTTCCATATTTGTTCAGCCTCCTTGATTCAAATACCAGGAACAACTCAGCCAGCACAAAGAGAAGCTTTGGGGGGCAAAAAAACTCACACCCCCACCAGCGCGCGCACACACACACACACACGCACGTGAAAACCTAAAGTTCATCGGCATGGGAAAGGAGAAGGAGAAGAAGAAACCTCAGCACAGCACGTCCCTGAATAACCAGAGCCAGACAGGGAAGGCACCCGAAGAGGAGAAAAGCACCGACTCGAGCAAGATGCAGGAGTCCACGAAGAAGAAGAAGAAGCAGAAGAAAACCAAGGGGGATCCCAAAACTGCCCAGGAGGAGGAATCCCACACTTGTTGTGGCTGCCGTTTCCCGCTGCTGTTTGCTTTGTTGCAGCTGGCATTAGGCATCTCTGTAACAGTGCTGGGCTTCCTTATGGCAGGCATCAGTTCTTCTTTGCTAGTCAGAGACACTCCATATTGGGCTGGGATAATTGTAAGCATAAAGTCTGTTTCTCCATAAAGTGCCTTTGCCAACATTAATGCAAGCTGCATGACGCTCCACTTTAGACTAACCAACTGCATGCACAACACCATTTGAGTTATGCTAACTATAAATATTCCTGGGATTAAATGTCTGGGTATACTTTCCCAAGGAAACTGCTCCTGCAGAATAACACAGTCTTTCGTATTCTTCCCTGAAATACCCAACAGACCTTAAATAAACTACAGGGTTGCTGTTCAATAGATGTATGTATTAGCTTGTGCTTTGCAGTGAACTCCTGCCTGGTGATGCTGAAAAAAAGATGTTGATTACTTATGCTGCCTTCCCTCTTCCCCCACCAAACCATAACAATCAGGTTTTAGAAGTGAGAGCATAACTCTGTAACTCGCAACTTTTAGCCGGGCGCGTTGGTGATAGCGAGAGGAGAGAAATGGCTGTCTTTTGAGCTTCCTCCCTTTGCTGTGTTGAGGAACCGCCGCGATTTAACCCCTTTCCTGCCCACCACTCCTGGACTTCTCCCCGGCCGGAGAGAGAGACCGCAGGTGGCCGTGGGGAGGGGGACAGTGCTGGTGGGTGGGTAACGTGGCAGGGAAAGGGAGCCCGTCCCAGGGCCGGCCGGCGGCTCCTGCCAAGTCAGGCGCAGCTGCGAGTGAGACGCCAGCCTCGCCGCACGGGCAGGGTCCTCCCGGGTGTAAATAGGAGGCATCGCCAGTGGGGAAGCCCCAGCTGGTCCCCAGGGCAGGCCGCCTCTGTGGAGATGTGGGGAGGAGGCATGGGGGTCTTGGTGCTGTGCACGGTGGGGCCCCGCTTGGCCGTGTGCTCAGAGACGTGTGGTTTGCCTGGGGAGAGGCAGGGTCGGTGGTTATGAGCCTGAGATGTGCGATGGATGCAATGGAATGTGATTTTTTTTTTTTTTTTTTCCCTAGGCAGTAGGCTTCAGGAAAACATATACTGATGTGTTAGTACTGTTTTGGGTGTTGTTAGACTGTAAGAACTCCTAGCGAACAAATTTGTGTTTAGGTATTTAAAGAAAAGATTTCTCAATGTGCTAAGAAGCTATGGAAGCACATCCCGTAAATGTAATTCCTTGCCAGTTGGAGGATTGTCTGAACACCTGAACTGTTTGGGGTTTGCTGTATGAATCCTGCTGGGAAACCTTCCAAAAAGTGGAAAGAGCAGGACCTGATCTCCCAAATGAAGAGCTCCTCTTACTCATCTCATCCTTCTTGTTTTTCTTCTGACCGAAGAGGTATCTAAGAGTTTAGCAATGTTTCGCAGAGAGAGCGCCTGCCCTTGCTCAGGAGAAGAACTTCCTCCTGGGGTTTTTAGTGTTAAAAGCGAGGCGGGAGTATGGATGATAAAAAAGGGAATGTGACATTTTCACTCCTCCTGTTTATTTGGGGATGCTGGAGGTCAGATTATTTCTTCTCCAGACAGTGCTTGTTGAAATAGCTTTTTCACTAGAAAAAGTTGACGCACAAAGTCTGGGGAAAGAGTGAGCTGGACTGAAGTAATGTATGGCCAGGGATGTGAGAAAAGCCATGGTAGCAGCCCCTGGCCCATGTGAAAACAGCATCCATCCAAGACACCCACATACGCCTGATGTCCTTTGAGGAGGCCTGAAACCCCACCAAAGTCACTACTTTCTGAAGACCAAGCTCTAACACCTTATTTTTAGCAGCAGCCACCAGCAGTAGTGACATTTAGTTATCCACACGAGGCAAAGCTCAGTCACTTTCAAAGTTCCCCTCTGAAAAACAGGCCAAACTCGCCACGTGCATTCCTGAGCTCATCCCGAACTCAAAGCAAAACTCAGTTCAGCCGTGGTGGTAATGTTTTGCGTTCACCCATAACCCCTGGGGGAACACGTCTTCTGGGATTTTGGTGGCTGTGGGTGTCAGGGCTTCATTTTGCTTCATGTCTCAGTGTGCCCCAGCTATCGGGAAGACCAGTGCACCCTCTGGGCTCCAAGCAGGGACCTGTGGGGAGGGGCTGTTATACCTACGGTTTGAGTCAGACAGTGACTCTTACCTTGGGGACTCTGGTGTGATGTTGAGCCACCAGCACGTTCAAGTGCAGTTTGATTCCTCCCTGGCTCACAACGGCTTTCGGTGCCCCCCGGCTTCCTCTCAGGGTGGTGGCAGGGACTGTGCGCTGGGGGCACGTGGCTAGGCAGGCTTCTGGGGAACAGCACTCTTCTGCACCCTCAGCCCAAAACAGAGGGAAAGAGGAGTCTGATGCCAGCAGAGAGGGTGGTAAAAGGGAAAGCAGTGTTAGAAAGGAGAGGTTGAGGTGGTGGTGCAGCCCCAGAAACTCCCGGCAAGAGAGCGCATGTGGAGCAGTGGCCATGGCCGATGCACCATGGGAGTAGTACAAAGCATTTATGTGAGTGGCAAAATGCAGGAGGTATGACATGATGCTGCATTTACTTTGTTCCTGTGCCATGATGTCTCCACAGGGGCACTTGGTGCCCATTGGGACATCGGACCGAGATGGCCAGGAGCTGCTGAGCTGGTTTCTGGGGGTGTGGGTCACAGTGCTGCTGGTGAGCTGTGGCGGGGGGCGTGGTGAGTATTGGCCTTTGGGGAGCTGGGAGCAAACTGGTCCTTGAAGGAGGACCCTTGGCTAGGGCATCCTACGTGTGGCTGGGCATCCTGTGGGCTGGTTCTGGGGTTGCTGTGGGAGGCTGCGTGGAGGGCATATGGGTAGGGGTTAGATGACCCACGTGCTGCTCAAGAACAAACCTCATGGCAGAAAGTGACTTCCCCAAACTCATTTATTTACACAGAAATGAGCAACAGAACAGAAAGATGTGGTGTAAAATACCAGAGCATATTTGTTTTAGTAGCATCCCACTCAAGTGCTCTTTTTAAAGGACTTGATTAGTATTCAGAATCAAGAACTTAAAAAATCTATTATTGCAACCTTTTTAGCAACATTAGAGATAATGGGCGAAGCTCATTCCTAGTGTTACTCCTTTGGAATTACACCAGGGCTGGATTTGACCCCACAGCTGTTAATGCAGGATGACAGAAAAACGAAGGAAAATTGCTAATGTGTTAAATAGACCTTGATTGATTGAAAGATTTTTTTTTCCTTCTTTATTAGTGGCAAAATGGTGACACCGTTCCTTGCTGAAAATCAAGTGGTTTAGTGCATTACCATGAATGAAAGGGAACTTATCTACAGAAGCAGCTAGAGTAAAACGCTACAGAGGAAACCCACGCAAAGCAGTCTGAATTAAACTGGTTCAAAACCTGACTGCCTAGGTTTGTGAGAACAGTGCAGGCCAGGGTTGGGTTCACCATCCTGTGGAATAAATGTGACCAGCGATCCGCTGACAGGGAGCAGAGGAGCACCCCCAACACCGAAGGGGTCCCCCCTGAGGGGTGCCTGTCCCCAGCCCTTCCCTCCTGCAGCTCCTGCAGAAGGAAATGATACAGCTTGAATTACATCAGAAGCGTTTCACCATGAAACCCAGCTAAAACCTACTAGTTTGAAATGTATTTCGGCCGAAATCCGTGGGGCATTAGTCAGAAACCAAAGGAAAGGTTTATGGACAGAAACCACAGAGCCTATGTGATTTACCACTTCTGCTTCAGCTTCAGCAACCTATTCCCTGTAAAATGCCTCCGCCGCATTGCTAAGGGCAGGCAAATAAATGCAATTAAAACCACTTGGTGTGGTTTTAATTTTAAAACCATGAGGGTGGCATTTGTTTCACCTCCCTGTCGCCATTTACAACAAAGGTGTCCAGGTCTGAAGCAGTTGCCCCTCTCCTCTGAGAGACCTGTCCTGAGCACCCAAACCCGCAGGCTGGACCACCCCAGCAGTCTCTTCCTTCTTGCTGTTTTGAAGGAGCTTGGACAAACTCTTCACAAATCCACTGAGGAGTGCAGGGCTTCTTTTTTTTTTTTTTTTTTTTTTTTTCCTGTGTTTTGCCACTGACTTGCTGCATAGCTTTGGGCAAGTTACTTAACCTCGCTAAGACTTTGTTATTTCCCCTGTAAAGTGGGGTTAATAATGGCTATCCGTCACCTCTTGCTTTGAGATCCTTGGATGAAAAGTCTTGCAGAAGCAGTAGATATTAATGGTATCCTTTTCATTCTTTTTCATTAGCTTGTGGCCTTTTGACACCTAGAAGAAGAAAAGATGTATTTCTCCTTGAAAAATCTGCTCTTAGATTATTTCCACTGTGATCAAAAGTAGAGAGTACCAGAGTTTTTGCAGGCAAGCTCCCTTTCAGCCCCATTTTGCAGACTCAGGCAGTTAAGAAAGTTACAGAAATGCTCATCGGAAATTCTTATCCAGGGTGTTTATTATTTCTGTTAGAAAGTTATTTGAAATCCATATATATGTATGGAGGTACATAAAATTGGGATTTTAAAAAACATTTTTAAAAAAATCTGTTTCTCAAGCAACTCGAGGTAGCAGCCATGGATCCAGCTGTCTTTTATTTTATCGCAAAAAATGTCTCAAAAGATCTGCCATGGGCTAAGCCCTCAGCCCAGGAGCTCTGAAGCTTCTCCCTGCTTAGGCCCTTCAGGGCCACATCTGCCCAGCTGTTTCCCCAGGCCAGAGGGTCCCTGAGCTTTATCCAAGCAGTGGCCCTGGCTTATTGCTTTTTGGCATCAGTGCTCAAGCATTGGCTTCTCTGCGCTGGTGGAGTGAGGCTGATGCAGGGCTTTGTGGTGCAAAAGGCAGGCAGACTTTTACATGAAAAAGCAATTTAATTATTCTTCATTTACCTGGAGTCAGAAATGTTTATGTCTCTTTTAAGTTTTTATAACTTTTTTAAAGAACCTTTAAAAAAATTTAAGCCAAAGCCTTCACCAAAGGAAACAAATCATTTGCTTTGAGCATCTGACAGAAGAGGATAGGTGAGATGGCTGGAAAACCCAGCTGTGAGGGACTGTTTGCAGGAGATGAGGGGCGAGAGAGAGTGCCTTGCGTGGCAGCATCAGAGAACCATGCAAGACAACTTGGGCTGG